GTAGCAGGAGTTCGTGCTGTTGAGCAGGAGGAATTGAATGGCCTTAGATTGTTGAACGCTGAAAGTGTTTATATCTCCATCAAATTGTCATTGAATAATTCTCTTACAAATAGGAATAGTGTTGGAAATACGCAGCTGCTAACGTCCAAATTTTTCCACCTAGTATTTGAATTTATGTTAAATTCAATTTCCATAATTTGAAGTTGTTCCGCATTTTTGCAGAGTCACAATCTTTTATTGATAATGTCTTCCCTTCTCCCTCCCTTCCATCTGAAATTTCAGTTTGTTGTTAATTTCTTTGTAATTTTCGTCGCCACCCGTGTTTTTATAGCTAACGATGAACTGTATATATAGGGACTAGGTCGTGTGCGGAAGGATCTAAATGACTACCTGATGAGAACCTATTGATGTTTAATTGATCTCAAAAGTTTGGCCTACGTTAACAGAGAAGAATCGTGAGAGACAGATACCAAAGAGAGTTGTATTGACTACTAGTTTTTTATCTGTAAGTTATATTGCAGTATAATAATATAAATCTATGTTATTTATAATCATCCCTCACTACTTCCTTATTATATCTGGTTTTTTTTCCCCAATCTCGAGAAAGAGAGCTGTTATAAGGTTTCCCTAGCCTTTTGCCCCTTGCACGTTCAGCTCAAATCCCTCACATTTCATTGCAGAAACAAGTCAGATCATCAAAATGGAAGGAATTGTGCACAGAACAGTGGAAGTGAATGGCATCAAAATGCATGTTGCAGAGAAAGGAGAAGGCCCGGTGGTGTTGTTCCTCCATGGCTTTCCTGAACTGTGGTACTCCTGGCGCCACCAGATTCTGGCTCTCAGCTCACTTGGCTACCGAGCCGTTGCTCCAGATCTCCGCGGCTACGGCGACACCGAAGCCCCGGCTTCCATCAACAGCTACACCTGCCTTCATATCGTGGGTGACATCATCGCCCTCATCGACTCTCTGTGTGTGGATCAAGTGTTCCTCGTGGCTCACGACTGGGGAGCCATCATAGGGTGGTACCTGTGCATGTTTCGTCCTGATAGAGTCAAGGCCTATGTCTGCCTCAGTGTGCCACTCATGCCCAGAAACCCCCGAGTCAGGCCGCTTGATGGCTTTCGAGCCGTCTATGGGGAGGATTACTATATCTGCAGATTCCAGGTACTTCTATCTATTCTTCATCAGATCTAAAAATGATTCGCGTTACCTGCTACAGGATCAAAAAATCTGTATATCCAACTAGATCATTGTTTTGGTTTTCTTGTTCATAGTACTTCTTCGACCTGTTCCCCCATCCTTTCCTTTTCGGGAAGTACTATCAAACTAACTGACCTCCTCAAGATGTCCCCTGTTCATATCTCCTTTGCAAAACTGACACGAAACGAGTGACCTGGGCTTTTAATTTGGGAAGCAAGACATCAACGGAGGAAAAGCAAATAAAAACGTCTTATCCTAAAGTAAATAAGAGTGCTATAGTTTCCAAACTCGACTATCATGTGACGCCTATATCAAGAGAGGAATTGTATCACTGTCCAAATGAAAGATTTCAATCACATCACAATAATAAAGATAAAAGGAAATGTTGATGGCTCTGATTTGGGAACTGTGGTTACACTTCTTTACTGTCAGTAACCTAACTTTTTTATTTTGGTTATCTTAATCCGTCAATTTGCATAGATTGCTTAGATTTTCACTCATGTTTCAATCATATGATAATTTATTTGATAAAAGATAAGATCATGAGTCCTTGGTATTGAAATGGTAGATTGTAGATGACATGTACTATGCGGTGGTTTAATTGTGACAGGAGCCAGGGAAGGCAGAAGCTGAGATGGCCAGAATTGGTTGCCAACAAGTACTGAAGCATGTCCTCACAACACGAAATACTGGTCCCCCAATCATTTCAAAAGAAGGGTTTGGGCATAATGCAAATACCACTCAGGCCTTGCCCTCCTGGCTTTCGGAAGAAGACCTGCGTTTTTATGCCTCTAAGTTTGACAAATCTGGTTTCACTGGAGGGTTGAACTACTACAGAAATCTCGATCTGTATGTCACCTACAGAAACACTTTCGTCGAGGAAGTAAATTTTGGGAACGTCATTTTCTGATCATTGTTAGCAATATTTTGAGAGGTTGTTGCATGACTGTGCTGCAGAAACTGGGAACTCACAGCAGCATGGACTGGGGTGCAAGTGAAAGTTCCAGTTAAGTTCATAACAGGTGACTTAGACGTGGTATACACTTCGCCAGGAATACGTGAGTACATACAGAGTGGTCGTTTCAAGAAAGACGTGCCGAATTTGGAGGAAGTGGTAGTTCAGGAAGGAGTAGGTCACTTCAACAATCAAGAAGCAGCAGGGGACATTAGCACCCACATTTACGACTTCATCAAGAAGTTCTGATCCAGTCCACATGGTCTCTCTTTGTTTTACCTGAACAATTTGACTTCCATATATGTCGAGTTGTTATTTGCAGACGCCTTTCTTTGTTCTTCATTTGTAGCAAAATCGTGCCATTATGGGAACATTATCAGTTCACTTGTCCCTGCTGTGTTTCCCTTAACTGAGTAGGGGCGCAAACAAATCGTTTCAGGATTATAAAGATTGGAGAGCCATGAGAAGATTGGCTATATGCACAAAAAGGGGCTTCTGGGAAGAGATTGGCCGGTGAAACTGACTCATGACTGCGAAGGAAGTAAAGAGGCATCCTGGCTAGCCTCAACGGCTCATTGGTTTGGCGGTCCTCACAAATCCTCTGATAAAGTAACTATGCAGCAACCTGCAGCAACTAATAAAAGTCGTCTAACCACTTAACTAATTGAATCTAATAAATCCATAAATCCTACGCTTTTGCTTGATTATGTTATTGGGGCATCTTACTTTGGCTATGATAGAAACTTGATAAAAAAAAAAGGATAAGAAATGGGATAGGAGGGAACGAAGGAGAAAGGTTGTGGAAATCTTCTAGAATCATTATATAATCCCAGAAGTAGGAGAATCTCCAAAGTTTTCTAGTATGAATATTAGTTTGAATCCCAAAGGATTGGTCTGTTAGGAGGAAAAGTCTATACCGTACTTGTGTGTTCCCTAATGTGGGGCTTAATATTTTCCTTTAGTAGGGATGGACGATGGTAATATAAGTCAACCTGTGGGTTACATATTAGCCCGTGACAGGTTAGGGTTAGGTAGTACGGGCTAAAAAAACTGCTTGTAATGGCGGGTTGGCTTAACCTGTTATGATAGATTGATGAGTTGGCTCGCCAACTTGTCAACTTTTTTTTATTTTTTTATTTTTTTAAAATTTTTTTCTTATACAATATAAAAAAATATAATGAAATTTTTATCTTTTCTTTAAATACTTGAGTAAAAACATCAAATAAATAAATGATATAGGTATATTTTTTAATTTTTTAGATAAAATATATAATATAATAATATACACAATGATTAATAAAAAAAATTTTAAAAAAAGCAAGTTGGTGGCTTACCCGCGACAAGTTGTGGGTTAGGTAGTACGGATTGAAAAACATTGTTTATTGATTGGTTGATTTTTAGTTAATCCTAACCTGTCATTTTTGTAGGTTGGAGGATTGAACTTGTGGGTTCAACTCATATTACCAGTTTTATCTTTTAGAATGAGAAACTCTTATTTTATATTTTTTTTCCGGGGTAAATATTGGGCATCCACGCCTTTTCGGCTTTTCCTAAACTAAACTTGAAAGGATGTTGCTTCGTATCAAGTTAGGTGGTTGTTATGCTTATCAAGTCTCCATGGGAAAGTTACAGAAGTGGATGAGGCATGGCAAGTAAAAATCCTACTCTAAGAACTGCATGTCTACTTCGACGAATGAACACGTTTCTTTAGACATTTTTTCTGCCATAACTCGTGCATTCATCGTATCTTTTGAGCTCAAAATCGCACTTGAAAAGGCCTTAAAATGATGTCAATTCAACTACAAGGTCTCACAAGAAACTAGGTTGGTTTGGTTAGATGTTAAGACTACACTCAGATTCACCCTACACACGCTAACATTCCTGATTAATTTTTTGAAATTTATTTTACTCAATATATCATAAAGTTATTCTAGCTTGGGTATAATATTACATTTATAACCTTTGATGATTATGTAGAAAAATATATACTTATTTTATCAAAATAGAGAATATCAATGCATCATATTGAACTAAAATTTTTCGAGACAGATAATTATTTATCATGTGTTTACTTGTTTTTCCTTTACCCTTTTAACACAATGATTTGTTCTAGGACCCGAACAATAGAAATACTATGATAAAAAAATATATCCATAACATAATATCACCTTCGCATAAAAAGGCCAAGGAAAAAAAATTCTATTGATCTCGCTAACCTAACTTCCTCGTAGTTTTTTTCCGGATGTTAAACAGGCAAAATTGTCAGATTAGTATCTAAAATGCACCTAAATTAATCAGGGTTTGGAGATGTAAACACCGTGTTGAATTTAATGGTCACAAGTCCAGCACAGAATTTATGATAGCCTACACCTATAGGTTCGTTCCACACTTTTTTTTTTTTTGGTGAAATATTTTTAAGAAAAGAGTTGGACTCGCCCACGATCTAAGGACAAGACACCTAACTTACTGGGGCCTGTCCCTACAGGCATGAGAGCATGACAAGCAAGCTTTTTTTTCTAGCCCAATAAGTAGAAATCTCCCAACTTCACTATGCTGTGGTGATGCCCCCTAGCACTGCGACTGGAACCACAACAAAATGACACTCCCTAAGATCGAACTTACTCTTTTTGGTGAGAGTCCGACCCTTAAAGGGAGGAGATCCTAGAAAGTACCACTTTGTTGTGAATCTAATGACAATGCTAGGAGAGGTATCACCATAACGTAGTAAAATTGGGAGATTCCTATATATTAGGCCAAAAAAAAGGGGGAACAGGAAATATTGCACTCCCCACGTTCGTTCCACTTTTATCATCAAGCAAATCCAGAATTGAGCTCATCACCAAGGCATCTAAAAAAAATTCCATAGAAACACTGGAAATAAAATTTTAAAATACGCTCACTGAACAAGAAATCTAGGAGACCAAAGCATAAAAAGTTCATACGTCATCCATAACTAAATAAAGTCAAATTTGTCATCAGCTCGTATGATATTGCAAAAATGTGAACTTTGGGAGTCACGGATCACCTTATCCAAAATAAACTAAGATAAACTCAAACCCTAAAACCTTTGCTGTTCCTCCTTCCTCTGGCCCTCTCGAACTTCCTTCCCTTTGATCGCACATAAGGCTTGGTGTGGCTATGTGGCACACCAGGAGCAGGACCAAAATGCTTCACAGCTTCACGAGCATTCTTTGGACCCCTAAGAAGGACCTGCATCCCAGACTTAACGATAAGTTTACCGTCCAAAAGCATACAAACATCAAAATTTCCAAACTTGTTCAATCAACTAACGATACAGTTACACGAACATCTAGAGAGCTGGTGTAATGGGGGATGGGGTGCATAGCATCTAAAAAAAGAGGGTTCGATATTCTGAAATAAGTGAGTAAATTAAAATTAAAATACAAATAAACACAAGATTTTGTGCAAATAGAATCACTACTATCCCCTTGGTCAAGAAATTTGTAGTTGTTAAGAGAGAGTTATTGAGATATCCACTAAATCAGCACTTCCAACAAAATCTAGGCAGTTTTGTATATAACACAAAGGACTCAACGAACCAAACAAATTGAATGCTACTGGATTCCCATGTGACAGCCTACAGAGATCTAACAAATTCTACGCATAGAAAAGAAAAATAAGCAAACACATGTTCATTATTACAGATGAAAACAGTACTAATGACATGCTTAACACAAAAAATTAGAGAAAGCAAACAAATCAGAAAATAGCGAAATTGCCACATACCGTGTTCTGTCCCAGCGGGGCCCTGAGAGCAAGCTGATCAAACGTCAAGCACTCACCACCAGCCTTTTCTATCCTGGCTCGTGCTGTTTCTGTGAACCTGAGTGCTGTAACTTTCAATGCGGGTACTTCATAAACCCTGATATCATCAGTCACAGTACCCACAATCACAGCAACCTTATCTTCCTACACAAAGAAATTTCAACACAACACAAATTAATTAAAACTACTGCAATTTAGTTAAATTATTAAAGTTAATGAGACATAGATATCTGACCTTTCCCTTCATAAATTTTATCAACCTTGAAAGAGAAAGTGGTGGCTTGTTAACCTTGCTCATGAACAAGCGCTTAAGTATCACAGCATTGAAATTGCTACCAGTTCTCCGGACCAGGAAGCGATAAAGCTGATCAAGTAACATTAATCAGAGTAATTCAATTTAGATAATAAATAAAAAACACGTAAACTTGCATTAAAACACATGTATTCATGAAACACGGAAAATGACAGGCCTCAAACCATTAAGTAATAACTATGAACAACTAGAACCCAACTACATATTTACGGTAGAAACAAAGCTAAGAAAGAGTAATGGTTCCCTCAGTATAAACTAAAAGCATAAATCATCTGATATCAGCATTAGCATGGTTTAAAAAGGCATCACCGGGAACCTTTCATCTTTGACAAGTGTAAAATTGCGATCAGAAAAAGAATTGGAAATGTTAAAAAAAGAAAAGAAAACCATAGAGATGATCAGATAAAATTATAAAATGGTCAGTAATTAATATCAACGATATGGTCCCCGTATTGGTTTATAAAAAGATGTATGAAAATTGCCACAAAAAAAAGGCGCACGAAAATGAACGCGTGAATTTCAGTTCTTGAGGCAACGGTCCATATACCAGTGGAAAACTGAAAATTATTCAATGCCCAAAAATCTTCTAGTATATTGTAAACCAAATGAAAACCTGGCCAGGTTGCAATCAGCTTCTAATTTTAGAGAAAAATAATCAGTTACTTCTATGCCATCAAGTGATAAAAATGAAATAAAATGCGAGAGTTATTCCAGGCTCAGACAAATGTGGATAAATCTATTCCCAGACCTTCGCATGACGAAGGCCTCATAATGAGCTGGGATCACATTTATCATCATCGTAAAAAAATAAACCCATCAGAGCATCACCTTAAACTCGTACAACTACCCACTTAGTCGACAGTAACAAATTTATCAAGAAGACGTTGTAAAATTTCACTGGAAAAGAGTAGGGATCGAACAGAGACCTTAACCAGGAGCTTGAGGTAGATATCATTGGACTTAGGAGCAGTTCTCTTGGTTTTCTTGCTCTTACCACCAGCCTTAAGATCGATACCCTGTATAACAAATGAGAAAGAAAGGAAAACATCGGAGATGAGGGGAAGAAGCCAAAGAAAGAAGAAGGCACAAAGAAACACGAACGAGCGAGAGAATGAACCATTGCGGCTTAGGTGATGACAAGCTCCCTTTCTGCTCAGCTCGAACGACGCAACGACTGCTGAAATATAAATCGGGAGGGGGAACGCTGAAGTAGGGTTTTGTTGTGGCGCGTCGCTCGGCTTCGCTTGTCTTGCGCAGATCTGGGCCGGCCCATCTCTTTCACAAAGTCGGCCCAGTTATAATAAGCCCATACCTATATGGCTGGACGCAACAAAGTAAGCGGTGTCGCTATGTAGTGGGGCGACGTGAAAAATAGTAGGGATGCGTTTGATTATTTTCATTAAAAATAGCGGTGTCGTTATGAAAATGAAGAAATTTCCATGAAATGGCCAAATTGTCCCTCTTCAGAAACCCTTGTCTCCATCCATCAAGAAGGACAGACACAAGGCGTGCTCCGACCTGAGATAGAGGAACACAGCATTATTTTTCTTTTTTCAGTGATCTTGTGGTGGCCATCGATGCTCTGTCTAAGAAAGCAAGGAATGATGTGAGGTACTCCTCCGGTCCTTACTATAAGATTCAATTCTTGAGTTGATTTTGGTCCTAAATATAATATCAATTTCTCATATTTATTAAGTTTCTCTAAATTACCCCTATAGATACTCCCTTAACCATAATCAAATAAAAGAGAGAGAGAGGGTATTAAAAAAAGATGATTATGGTGTTTTAGGAAAAATGTGTCACTTTTCTTATAATTAACTAACTTACCTAACTTCCTTAATCTAATCAAATTAGTTAAATAGGTCTTATATTAAGGACTGGAGTAGTATTACTAAGCCACTTGCATAGTTGTAAAGAAAGTGCGAGCTTCAACTTCCTACCCCCCGGTGGGGGGGGGGGGAATAACATTCAACGAATTGAGTAAGATGAATTTTAATTTATTATGTAAAGGGGCTCAGTAGTTTTTATTTTATTTTATTTTATTTAATAAAGTTGACTTTTATTTAAAAAAAGATGAATTTTATTATTTTTCAAAAATTTTAAAATTTTCATTTTTATATTTATTCCCAACCAAGCAACTGGTATATGTTTTCCAACTGATATATACAATTTAATTTTTCAAGTATTCAAATATTCCTTAGAAATGGAAAATTTAGGTCAATCATACTTTGTTTACATTTGTTTCCCCAGAAAGTTAGACTCATTGTTTTTAAAAAAACAAATACCAACTTTTACGTTAAAAACATAAATTATCACCGCTTTTGATTTAGGGGGCTTAATTATGAGACGTGTTTTGGGAGTAAAACAACAAAACACGTGAAGAATTTACTAGGGAATTATTTTTGGGGCCCCACAGAAAGTGAGGCTTCCACTTTCCAAAAATTTATACTCCCAGTTCAAGCCAAGAAGTAAATCACCCACCAATAAATTTTCCCTTCTTCCTGTTGCTTCCCCACTCCAAGCAAAGCGACCCTCATAAGAAGTCAGGCTTGCTATCTGCGGGGCCACTTGCCCCTGGCGGCAAGTTCCGCAGATGCATGCATCAAAATGGCGCATCTCAGAAGCTTGACGCATATAACATGCGTAATTGATTTGACCGTAAGCCCCATTACCGAACACCCCCCCCCGGGGCCCAAAAAAAAAAAAATCGCCACCCCCACATTTAAAATGAAAAAAAAGGAAGGGGAAAAAAGATTCAGATGGCTTCAATTTAACCAAGTACGAAGTTGTAAAATTTAATAGGAAACCACCATAGCTTCGTATTTGTCAGGGCACATAAGAAACATCAAGCAAAGCTACACGGACCAGCACAAGTATCTGACAAGAGATCCGTGCAAAGAACTCCCTGTTGTGTTTTGTTTTTTTAAAAATACTTTTTACATGTATAAGAAAATGAATCATCAGATGTGCGCGTGATTCGGAGCCCAGGATCAATCTCCAAACACATGAAAGCAGCCTTGTTTAAACATGGAGCACTAAATCACACTGTTACACAGTTGGCATTGCAACAGCCATTAAAAGTTTAAACACCTTCAATCAAGCCGCTCCATCTACAACGTAGTTTAGAGAGAGATATTATCAGGCACAACAAGAACAGGTGGAGGATGCATAAGAAACCCAGATTTACAAGTTCAGACCAAAATAAATGTTAAAAAGTATTTATTGATTCATCAAAGAATCTAAATATAACATTAAAATAATTAAAATTAAAGTATGTAATCAGATTATACCTTCCAAAGACCATCATTGAGATAATGCAGGTTGTCGACCCCAATTCCCTTGTTAATTGATTTTCTGAAAATTAATTAAACTTCTTCAGCACGAGAATCAGGAAGAAAAACGAAACTACAAACAAGACACATCTTCTCTTTATTTCTGCATTTGCATCTTGAATGTTTTATTCTAGATGCACAACCAAATGCTAGAGCGTGGACCTTAATACATCCAAAATTGACAGTAAAGATCACATTCCTTATTTCCCTTTTTATGTTTTTGGCCTGAGGAAAAATCACATTCCACTTCAAGCTTTTAGCTTCATGCCATGATCAAATCCACCCCGGCGCCACTTAGGCACTCACAAATTACAAGAGAGTTGTGTAACATTCTAACAGTCATCGTAATCATAATCTTGAAAGTTATAAAATAACTAACCAGGCTACAAAGACTGGTGCAATGTTTTCTAACTATATAATAATCCAACAAAGTACTAAATTTTGGTTGAAAAACGACAAAGAAATATGTAAATTCTTCTCTTAATAATCACCAATGTCAACATCAGGGGAAAAGCCAACCAAAAAAAACATTTGTAGTAGATTGTAGTTGTGAAGAAGAAACACTGCTTATTTATATCATCCAACATTTTTGTGAGCAAGAAAGTAAAGTAGGATAACGTTTCTTACATGTCTTTTGCAGACATTTTTGTAAAGCCAATAGCAAGAGCGTGCTGCTTTCCTTCAGCCATGATTGCCTAAGATCAGACAAGCAAGTAATGTGCTAAAAGTCAACAAATAGCCAATAGAAAATGTTCATACATAACAATATAAAACAAACTAGAGTGTCATTGAGACAGTACCACAGGGGTTTCCGCTTCCACCTCCTCATCCAGAAGACCCCCAGGAGATGTGAGCCCAGGACACATTATATTGGCACCCGCCAAGACAAATTTTATTGCACCTCGGTCAACTTGTAATTTCTTCATTATATTAGGATCTGCAAATCAATAAAAAATAATAATGACACATACATCCATGGACCGTGAGCATATATAGTCTCCCTCATCACTCTATAAATGCTTTTGATTGAAGCATTAAAAGTCAAATGGTTTCTGAAAATTTACTAATGATGACCTGCATTTGAATTCGGGGATAGATAACCTATACGAAGAAAAGTAAGGAAACCATGATTTTGTCCCACTCCTCAGACCCTCATGTTAACCCACCCCCCCCCCCAAAAAAAATAAATAAATAAAGACCCTCTGACCTGAGGAATAATCACAGGACTAAAGAGCACACAAAATCCAAATAGTAGGAAATACTGGAAAGGAGAACAAAGGAATCTAAGAAGCAAACATCTGAATCTGATTGACCATGGGACCATGCGATCTTACCAGTGTTCACTTCGCAGATGCAAACACTACTATCCTACCACACAATAAGACTCAAAAGTCTTAACAAGGGTTGACCTGGAAAACTCACACATCCTACAAGAACAGAAGGCCCTAAGTCACCACATGTCAATCTGCCTCCTGAACTTCCAACCTAGACCATTCACACATAAGTCATGGTGATCATCAGTCAGAAGCTGCTTCGTTTCCAAGCCTTTGGTGTGCAATTGTATAGTCGGAGAAACCAACCTATTGCTATTTTTATATAAGCTTGGCCAGTATACCAGTTTCCGAAAGAGATATGCATTCTACAATGGTTCAAACACGTCTCTAATAAGATGTACCACGTACCAAAAGTAATAGCATTTTACAAGCTAAAAATGTTTTTGAAAAAAAAAAAGTTGAGACATTACACTGATGGAGAAGTCGTAACGTGGGCATGTATGGTCCATCACGGATGCTGAAAAACAAAGGCACATTGTTCACTAGAACAAGATTCAGATGGTTCTGACTGCAAAAAAAGGCCCAAAAAAAAAAACAATTAGTTAACCATGAAAGCAGCGATGAGTGGAAAAGTATACCGAAGAAAACACAGAAAGAAAGTAACATTATCACAAACCATTTAGCAACTATAAGAGGGGACTTCTTTGGAAGGATGTCATCTAATACCGGCTCAAGTCCTGGGTACTGCAGAGGAGCGATGAACTGATGATTAGATTATATGCCCCAAAAAAAAAAAAAAACCGTGATAAAGCAGATGTGGAAGAATTTCTGCAGCCAGGGTTAAAAATGAGCGCAGCCAACAGTAACAGCACCTCTTCTGCAATACTTTGTCGTATTTTTCTTTGAACAGATGCCTTCACTTGGTTTTGTGCAGACACATCTTCTGAGGAGAACCTGAATAGTTATATATCTAAATATTTAGATTCAGAGTAGCAGTTCATGGAAGAATTATTCACAATAAACAGAAGACTATACCCATCAACTAGAGCATCAGGGTGGAAAAATTTTTTTTGGGGGGGGGGGGGGGACAGAGCACCGTGGATTGGGACATAGCATATCCATTAGGTTTGGGGGTGAGAACAGGATATCAGTCTCTTCAGAAACCTTCGAAGTTGGTGGGATCTCATGGACTATGTTAATATCCACAGTTTCGTAACTCAAGTCCTCCGGCAAACTAACTACCTGCCCGATAAATTCCTCGATTCGCATACCACATAATACTCCCAGAAACGGAATTGTTAACTGGCGCTCACTAGTCACCGTCCAGTTGTGTTAAAACAAAACGCGTTGCTACACTCCCCTCGCAACAACTAAATAGACTTGAAAACAAAACAAAACAAAAAATACATAGCGATTGAGACTGAGTGCCTGAAGGTGTCACTAAAGCAACAACTGAGGGGAAAAACTAACAAAGAAAAACAAGCTAGACTTTGTGCAGATGCGCAGAGAGGGGAGGAAGAGAGCATACTTTTTGAACATCTTGAACAGGAAGCAGGGACGGGGTTCTCAGAAGTTATTCCAAATGAAATAAGAAACGTCCAATATGAATCGCGGGGGTCTAAGAACGAATGATCTAATTTGTGCGAGCTTGAGGGAAGATGAAGACGGTGGCGACTGAACAGAGATGCATCTGCTACTCTCGCCACCGGCGCCCCAAAGGCCGCGTTGTAATTAAGCCTCATCTTCGCCGGCTTATTGGGCCTCCCAAAACAATTTGATCTTCGAGTATGTTGGTCCGCTTTATTAGGGTTGGTATATATGAAAGGCCCCATTTTTGTATGAGGGCCCATCAGATGACTGGGCTTGGTGCCAATATTTGTCCTTCAATTAATTAATAATTAACGAATTGATTGATTAATTCTGCTGCGAAGGAATTTTAGTGCTGGGTTAGGAAAGGAGAAAAGGTATATTTATTTTAAGAAAGGACGCTACCCCTGTGTTAGGTAGTGGTCCAGGAAGGGTTTAGTTGAGGTTTCTTATTGTTATCAAAGAAGAAAAGAAAAGGTACATTTAATAAGCTATACAAGTTCCGATTTTCTATATTAAATAAAGAATTATGAACAAATGAAGGGGAAAATGTATTTGAATTTTGAATCCATGTAGCCTACAAAATGGAGGAGGATGCGGGGTGGGGCCGGCCGCCGATGGGTGGTTTGATTCATAAGGGTGAATTGGAAAACATACAAAATTTTTTTTTTCAAAAAAAGAAAGGAACAGAATAACGACAAGAAGTAAACATTTTATCATGGTACTCAGATTGCCAAAAAATAGGGCACCAATCACCGCCTTCCACGGAGTAAACATTTGAAAAACATTCCAAGAGTGACGTGCACCCAAGGTTGGCTTGATATTTACATCTCTAGCCACCCCCAATTCCGTTTACCCTCCCATTCCTTTCGGTTCCTATTCCTATAATATTTGTCACCTTCTTTGCCTCTTTGGGTCTGCCGGTTGACCCTCTATTTTCTTTTATTTTATTTTTTTTTGGGTGAAATACCCTCTATTTTCTTTATTTATCTTGTTTCTTTCCCATCTTGCGGCGCCAATTTGTTTGACCTTTACAGCGTCTCTGGAATTGCGCTATTCATCTTGGTGCCTCTCAAGGTGGGAGATTGAAGAACAAGATGACGACGACCTTGACAATGGAGGGCATGATGGACAGGGCCGTCCTGGATGATATCATTCGCAGGCTCCTCGAAGGCAAAGAAGGCAAACAAGTGCAGCTCTCTGAGTCGGAGATCCGTCAACTCTCCGTCAACGCTCGCCAAATCTTCCTCTCTCAGCCCATTCTCCTCGAGCTTCATGCTCCTATCCACATCGGCGGTCCGCTTCTCATTCTCTCGCTAACATTGTAATTAAAAGGCTGCCTAATTTTTATCTTGGAGATTGCCTGCTGCATGGTGTGAAGGTTCCATTAAACAGTATTGGCTGCCTCTTAAATGTGTTATCACCTTTGTTTTATCAGTCATATTTTAAAACTTGGTGTATTTCTGCGCTTTCAATGTCTGGGAGAAAGTGCTGGTCAAAAAAAAAATATCTGGGAAAAAGGAATTACAGACGTTATCGCACAATTATATGAATCATTTGGTCAGATTTGATCTTAAATCATTTCACTGCATTGCAAATAGCGTGGCTTACGGAAGATCTTATTATACATATTGATGCATAGATTATTCGAGTGCTGAAAATTCTGCAGCTGTTGCTTCGCAATGCTTTTCTCCATATTCCATTGTTTCTAACATTATAATTTTCTTGCAGGTGATATACATGGGCAGTACCGAGACTTATTAAGGCTTTTTGAATACGGTGGCTACCCTCCTGCTGCAAACTACTTGTTCCTAGGGGATTACGTAGATAGAGGAAAGCAAAGCTTGGAGACAATATGTTTGCTTTTGGCCTACAAAATAAGATATCCTGACAAAATTTACCTGTTGAGAGGAAACCACGAGGATGCGAAGATAAATCGGATATATGGGTTTTATGATGAATGTAAACGGAGGTTTAATGTTAGGCTGTGGAAGATATTTACTGAGTGCTTCAACTGTTTGCCAGTAGCTGCACTAATTGATGACAAAATACTCTGCATGCACGGCGGCCTCTCTCCAGAATTGAAAAATTTGGATCAGATAAGGCAAATTCCGAGGCCTACTGATGTTCCCGATAATGGTCTCCTCTGTGATCTGCTTTGGTCTGATCCTGATTCTAACATCGAGGGCTGGGCAGAGAGTGACAGAGGCATCTCAAGTAATTTTGGTGCTGATGCAGTCACGCGGTTTTTGGATGACAATGACCTCGATCTCATTTGCCGAGGTCATCAGGTGAACCCCTCTTTTCTTACGACCTCACTTAACACGGTACAAATGTCGAGTCTATATTTACTTCTCGTTATAGGTGGTGGAGGACGGGTATATGTTTTTTGCTAAGCGAAGGTTGGTCACAATATTTTCTGCTCCAAACTATGGTGGTGAGTTCGACAACGTGGGCGCATTATTGAGCATTGATGAATCTCTCGTATGTTCCTTCAAGATCATTAGACCGATTGACAGAGGAACTGGTTCGTCAAAGGTGAATCTCAAGAAGGTATGTATGTATGATGAATATGCTGTTGTAGTTCTTGTGTGGGACGGGACATCTCACGCATCCTTTTTGGCAGCCTTCTAAAGCTGGAAAGTCCTAGTCATGTGGCAGGCTCAGAACTTTCGTAGAATCGAACATCTCTTAAGTGGTCACTTTGATTTTGGCAAGAGATAGCCTTCCCCAGCTTTGCGAGTCGAAGGACGGCAATGATCCAATGGCCTCCAAAACTATGTTGTAAACTAAAACCTTCTCTGGCATTCTTCGTGCGATTATACACCATTTGGTCACTTGTTTGGCAGTTTTAGACGTATTTTGTGCGAGCAAACAGAGTTCCATATTAGATATGAAGGGTGTTTGGAAAACCCAAAACCATAGTTTCAGAAGCACTTTTCCGCAAAACGAGGTAATCTCCTCCACATATTTACTTCGTAATCCATAAAAGCACTTCTGAAACCATAGTTTGGTTTCTATCCAAACACCCCTATGATGTATTTTCACAACGCTCATTGTGTTCCCGTTTCCTTGGCAACTGATAACCGAGAAAATCTCGGTTCCTAGAACATATTTCCAACTCCAACAAAAATATAAAATTTAGCTTTGTAATGTAATATGTATTACAAATTACAAATTAGATCGAGCGGAAGTTGCACTAAATTAACATTATCAAATATTTATTGAAGTGATCTGAATAATACTAATCTTTTTGCTCTTTTTCATTCCTTTTCTATCCTGGTCAATTCAAATCTGGGGGTGCTGCGTCTGCATTTCTCACCGTCTGTTATTAGAGTTTATCCCATTTAAACTACAAAAGTATAAACTCCTTGACTAACCAATGCATAGAAGATTAGTCACCCCTAACATATATTTATTTTGCCTTTTCTAATTCAAGTATTCAACGAAGAAAAGAGGGGCAGAAATTCAACTCCACATACTTCCCTGAGCAAAGGTGGATAAATTAGGCTTGGTTCCAATTTATAGATTAGAACCAAGACGGTCCATTTTTTTATTTTTTATTTTTTTCACTTCATTTTAATTCTGTATTAAATAAAAATATATCACAATTGAATATGAGCTGTAAAACTTTAGAAGGTAAGAATAAACATCCCATACAAAGATGAGCATGACCCTCCAAAATTTTTCATATTGGGTATGAAGTGAGTTATTTTGGCCTATCATCATTCATTCAACGATAAGAAATTTGTACCCCAAAACCATGAGGAATTAAACACCATAGTAGAAGTGCTGGTCAAAAACACCATAGTAGAAGAATTTGACCAAGCAAGGAGGAGGGTTGAAACGTGATCCACCGCGCGGTTGCAGGAGTCTTGCAACTGTCCCAACCAGATTGAGGAAAAGAGAAACATGATAAAAGTGTCATCTAATCACCTTTTTCCTCACGTTAATGTTTCAAAAATATGATCTTCTATAAAGAAGGTTAGCCATAAAACAAACAGGGAGAATAAACAACGAGATAAAATATAATGCATGTATTTTCTCTGGATTATTGAAAAAAAGAAGAAGTCAAGATTCGCCTACAAAATAGCACAATAATTATGATATAAAACATACAAGTAAACATTCATCTTACAAATCTCTTCCTATTTTCTTGAGCACTAGAACTAGAAGGTCGTTGCTCCATCATCCTGCCCTCCAGTTTTCTTGCAGTTCGTCTTATAGCCGCTAGCTTTTGGCGTTGGTTATGACTCTGCCTTTTGCTGCATGATCAGCGTATGGTTGAGTAGAAAATCGATACCAACAATAGAAGTAGTCTTAATGAACGGACAACACAGACAAAAACATGGAATGAAAATATTAAAATCCAAATTCTGTCATGTAAACACAACTTGACATATCACGCCAAGGGCCGGAGAGAGGAGTACGGACTTCTTTAACAAGATGTTATGAGTAAAGAGAAATAACCAGAAAGATAAAATGGGCTTGAAAAAGTACAATCAATTACGAAAGTGTCAGACCCCTAAAAGTATATCAGTATAATGAATTATACTTTTTTATTTGTTTGTATGTTAAGTCATAGGAAGCAAACAGTATTCTGACCTTACAAACACCAATCCTGCCGTTAGAACCATCCCTCCGATAGCCCAAGAAATTCTTTCGCTGAAAGGCATTTGCCTCACCCATTGAGGGAAATCTTCGAACACCCTCAATCTGTCACCTCTATGGGTCCCCCTAAACTGTGGAGCCTTCCATGAATCAGCGACTGAGTCCAAACTGGTTATATCACCATAACAAGATGTTTCACGGGTGCTAACATACGCATTATCAAACGGTTTCACTCGAAAACCTGCAGCAAGACAAAGATCTGTACCATTGGAGACCCATTCAGCAGCCCTACCACATACAAAGTCATTTACTCCACAAGGTGCTACAATCTGGGAGGTAAAATCAATCCAAAAAATGGATTTTGTCAAGCTTATATAAGGAGATATTTGAAATTTCAGATTCTGGTATTAGAACAATAAATAAACACGCACACTGACCCATCAAGTTGCTAGATGAAGGTGATTTAAACTAAACAACATGCCATTATAAATTATTAACCATAGTCTATAAATTAATCCTATCTCATGAAGCATAACCTCCTTTTAAAATACAACACCCTACAGCTGGATTAAATGACTGTGATAAAGATTAAAGTCAACTTAATATATGGATAAACCCAGATCACCTCCTCTTTTGCTAGCATCTAAAGAATGCAAATTCCTGAGAAAATTAACCAGAAGGACGGAAAGAGAGTTGCCCACATACCTGTGTTTTCACATCCATCGAGAAGTAAGCATTTGAGCATGCCTCATAAATTCTGTCACAGAATGATGCACATATAAGGGGAGGTCCAGGTTGAACACCAACACGAGGATCACATATGGAACACTCCAATAATTCCCACAAGCCCAAGCACTCCTGGTTGGCTTCCCCAGTAGATGCAAGCTTCCTTACAGCCAAAAGAGCGGGATAAGTCTGGGCTATGTCACAGCAAGTTCTTTTGCGAAAGACCCTGCAAAGGGTCAAATCTTTGGGTCCTTTTTTGGGAGGCTTCCCCTCTGATGTGAAGGGTGGAAAACGACCACCTTGAGAAACACATACTCCATTTGGTTTAGCTGCATTTAAAGAATAAAAGGGTTGTAAAACCACTTTTCATATACAAATGCTGTTCCATTAGGAACTTCTCAAAGAATTACAAAGAAGTTATTCAGGACCCAGAATATCATTTCATAAATTTTACAACCACCACACTATAATCTATATGCATGCTCTAGCCAAAAGCAGTTTGTCCTTGAAGCTAAAAGAATGTGAAAAGTCAAGCTGAGCAGCAGAGAGTCACAGACAAAGGTAACCAGCATTTATCCATGGCTAACTTCATGTGGGATGGAACAAAAGGAGAGGGCTTTCTCATTATATCAGACAAGATTATGGCAACCAGCATTTAGAATATTTACAAGCGATCTCCATGTTTTATCAATTCCAATAAGAAAGCCTTTTCCTCAGTCTGCGCAAAGACGAGTAGTTAATGGAGGAGGAGTCGTAGGACACTTAATCTTTCACCACAGATAGACCGTCTAGTGGCTGCAATATTCTAACCATCTACATGGGCAAGGATAATAGCTTTGACGTTTCAACGGTATCAAAGAAAAACTTGATTTCTGAATTAGATACGGCTGCAAAGAATTTCTTCAGACGCAAACGCTTTGTTCAATGGTAGATCATATTTCGGTATTTTGCAATATAAAAGAATCGCAACTAAACCTTGTAAGGCAGCTCGTGTGATGCTGAGGCGAGTCTGCCTTTCTAATTGACCAATAGCGCTCTAAAAATATCTACATAAATCAGGCTCAATAACATAAAAGGAAATTCTTATGGAAGAAGTGGGAGATAAAACTGAGAATCAAATTTAAAGACTTGCCCCGATCCTCAACCACTCAACTACTGGGACAACAAATTTCATATTTCAAATATCATTCTCAGTCTCGGTGTTTACGACCCCATACGAGAAACAGTAGAATACACCATTGATTGAGAAATTTGCAGATCTGCGGAAGATAGAAGTCTTCAGATGAAGAATCTCACCGAAGGAGTAAAGAAGGAGATGATGAAAAAAGAGCAGGAAAATCAGAAACCCGTAATTCATACTGTTCGCTGTGTCCAGGGGTTTCGGGTGTGACTGCAACCATGCTGGGAAATTATGGGAGAGCCTCCATTTAACGGGCTGAACACGGGGAGGACTAAAACCAGACTACACAGACCGCAGATCCAGTTGGAGACATGGGTTGGCCCGGTTTTTTTGTTTTTTTTTGGAGGATGACGTTTAAGAACTATCGTTATTATCTATCTAATGACAAACAAAAATCATGCTACCAAAAAAAGGGCAAAAAAAAACCATAAATTTTCAAAATGTCAATAAAATATAAAAGTTACGTTCATCTACAAAACAGAAGTCTGTGCTCCTATTCAAGGTCTTCCGCAATTCATATCCTTTAAGCCTAGCAAGAGAATCGCACGCCTTTCACTGCTCATTGAGGTTTTGAGAACGGACAAATCGGAGACAGTCTTTTGTTCTACTCTCTCCGGTCCTCAACGGAGAGTAACTTCTAAACCATGACGGGGAGTAATGTCCCCTGCGCAATCAGGACGAGGGCCAATAAATAATAAGAGGGAGGCTTCGGAGGGGGCGATTCCGAGGGGGGCGGTCGAGAGTGTGAGAGTTGAATGTAATCATGATCATAACACTCTTTGCACGTTCACTCTATTTTTTTTTTTCCCCTGAAGACGAGTAGGTTTTATGAGCTTAATTTTAACACAATTCAACTGATTTAATATCCGCAAGCCAAACTTTCATATTTACGAGTCAAACTGCATCATTTACAAATTAAACTTGTAAATATTACATTTTTGACCCCTATTGGTATCTAATAGAATTATAAAAACGTATCTATATTTATTTTTCACCTTGAGCTTGTAGTTAATTATTTGATAAAAAGCGACACTCTACTTTCTCCAAAATCTTGGGCCACACGTTGCATGCTCTCTTTTATTTGATCTGTCCACTCTACTTGTTTCAATGGCCGGCCTTCGTTTAATTCAAGGGTGTCATGCGCATTCACGTGACATTTCTTCTAGAGACATTTGGATTGAAATTAAATTATGATTTCAGGAATAATTTTATGATGTATAAAGGGAGTGTTTGCCTAACCCAAAAATATTTTTAAAAATACTTTTTGTAAATCGATACAAACTCCTGCATATGTTTATTTCGTGTATCATAAAAACACTTTTAAAACTATGATTTTGTTCCTACCCAAATACTATAAAAATAAATATATAAAAAAATTTATTTTAATTTATAAAAAAATGTTTGTAGAAAACTTTTTTCGTGCTATCAAACACCACCTTAATGGGTGAAGAGACGCGTTTAAAAACATTTGAAGGTATTTTACTTCGGCGTTAGCCGAGAATACATTGGCAAGTTCCACCACTGTTATTTCCCCCTTCATCACGACACCACCCACAATAGGAATAACCAGGCCTAGTAGCAGTGTCACCTCGTTAGGAGCTAGAATCCAGATTTCCCAAACTAATCAGAGGTTGTACGAAGCTCGTCTCACCGCATGGATTCCTTGAACCCTCCATTTGTCCAACGCACGCAAAATTGGGAGATGTGTAGATGCATTAAATCATAATTAAAAAAAAACTTTTATAGTATCTGAAAAGAAAAATCTTAAAAATCACTGTTAAATTTTAAAATAACAACTCAGAAATTATTATAAAAATATATTGTTATTTGTTTTGTAAGTGTAGTCATTTTTTTAGGATTTTCCATGTCTAAAAATTTTTTTATCAGGCATAATTTTACCTCTACGTTTTAATGATGCAGTTTTAAAATCATTTTTTTAAGTAAAATTTTACCCCAAAAATGAAAGGTAAAATTGCATCCGACCAAAAAAAATTTGGGACAAAATTACACTCCAAAAGTAAAATCACAGGCAAAAACTAAGAATAAAACTGCATATAAAAAATAAAATCAAAATTAAAATTGCATTTTAGCCTCTCTCTTTTTCTAAATAATTTTTTAATCATCTAAACACCCCAACAACCCGCATTATTATAAGAGTGGGGCCGGCCAGCAGCCCCATCATTAAAAGGACAACATCAACTCGAGAGTGATCCAGAAACTACCCGGTAGAATCTTATCTATATTCAGGCCAAAAAACTTACAGGCAGAAGAAAAATCTAGAACAGCACCAACCTATGAAGAGGGACCATATACACAAACATAATATACTCTATTCAGTCCTACTTCATGCACCTACATATCTCACAACCCACCCGCTCCACAGTCCACACCACACAAACCACCGCACAACTTCATCTCGCGCGCACACATCTAACACAAAAAGGGATACATCCACGGTAAAGGAAAACATAACAGAACATCATCTTCGTGCTTCTGAGATGCTCACTTCTCAGACATCGAAAGGAGAAGAAGGGCTTGATCTGTTCTGGCCTCTCTTCTCGTACGCATCCGATGTCGACCTCCTTCGAAACCGGAAGGGCTCTCTACCCCCTGAAACCAAGCAAGCGCACATCATCGTTAGACTTTTTTCCCCACTTAGCTTCTTGTTGTACTGATGGGGATATGGACACACACAACCCCACAATATCAATGAGCAAACATTTCGAGTTGAACTAATGGAGGATATAAAATAATTGTGACGCGCATATAATTGAGCCTATGCATGGATATGCTCATCAAGCAGGTCATTGTCCATCGGGGAAATTAAAAAGGAATAAAAAATCACCATTCTCACTAGACGCACCTAACACTCCTTAGTCATCACTCATCACCCCAATCATCTCCCAACCCAACCAAAGGATAACCACCAGCACAAAAAGACAAAATTGCCGCCTAAATTAAAGCATCGTTCACGTTAACAAGCTACAGAAAAAGCCAGCTAGTTTCAACTTTCAAGTTTCATCGCCATTCAATTCCGAAATTTTCAGTTTCATCGCAAGCTCATTCCATTCCAAGATCCCGTTATACATTATAATAGTGATAGTGATGAAAAAGGCGAAGATAATAACGACCTTACCCGAAAACGGAGAGACCGGTGGAGTAGACCCAGCTGGCGAAACCGGCGGCGATCCACTCTGGTACCCCGGCGGCTTCACGATCATGATACTGCGTGTTACTCTCGTCGCCTCCTCCAAGGACTCGTCACCGCTCGATCTCACGCTCCCGGCGTCTGATTCTGACAGAAAAAACACTCTACATGTTAGCATGTTATTGCTATTCCAAAAGGCACACGTACGCTACACTCTGAAGCGTTTCCGAAGCTTATCTCCGGCCAGAACAAAAGACCTAGTTAGATTCTAGTTGTTTTGCGACCCCCAATCTTTTGATAAAAGCCGCAAGTGATAAAACAATAAATCGTTCAGGCAGGAGTTCTTTAAAAGTTAAACTGTTAAAATACAGGAGGACTTGATCTGCAGTTGAAATTCAACAAATTGAGAGCCGTTAAATTGATTCAGTTAGAGGTCAAGTTCTAGTATGAATCCTCTTGATTTTGATCTGATAAATAGGGCAGGTAGAATCAAGAGTTAATGTCCAGCGCCGGCAGAAGATAGCAAAAGTTTTTCGTACCCTTGCCGGGACTCTCTCGATAACTGAAGGTGTTGTGCTTTCGGAGCTTGCCGAGACCGTTCTCCGGCCGAGGCCCGGCAACGGTATCATCCCACAACTGGTCGAGGAGACCCATGGTAAGCAGGATCAAGCGAGTTACAGCAGATCCAGCGCGTCGGCTACCTCAGTGACCAGGTTCCGGACTAAAGCTGGAAGCAACCGATGGAAGCGATATTTAATGATGGCGGGGCGTTAAAGAGCGAACAAGTCTTAAAGAGAAGAGTGATCTGAGCCGCTGAATGAAATGCGAGTGGGCCTGCATGACGTGGCAATTGGATCGGGAAGCACGTACAGATAAGATTAGGCCTGACTGGGTCCCGATAACTCGGAGGAATTCAAGTCGAAGGATGACACGCGACATTTTTCCAGAGGCGGTAAGCTCACGTGACCAGTCACCTTCGCAAAGAGATAATTTCGTGGTCTGGAATACCCCTGACTCTCGAAGGAGTGGGAAAGCCAGGCCCTTCGTTTTCTTCAGAATTACAAAAATGGCCTCATAAGGTAATTGAATTATTGAACGATGAGACTGATCGTATCAGCACATCACCCTCCTTTCTCCCCTTTTTGCCATTATTCCACCATAGGACATGAGCAGGGTAAACTTGGATGTCAAATTTGACGAGGTTATCGATTGTTGTCCCAGAGAATCGAGACAAAGCCAGCCCCCAATTTATACAATATTTGGGAGGCACCGTGGCCCTTCCGAATTGATCTCTTCTTCGAGTGTAACAGAATTTGGACGCTCCTGAATTTTGGTTTGATTACGATGATTACCGTGGCCCTGTTTGAGCTTTAAGATTCAGACACACTTTCTCCCATTTTTTTCATTTGACTAAAATTTCATTAGTGTTCAGACACTGTTCCTTTATTTAGTCATAAAGACCACTAAAAAAAATTATATTTCGCAGGTTTCTGCATATGCATCGCTTTTAACCATTTCAAACAGATCAGGACAGATTAATAAAAATAATAAAATTGTTTTAAATTTGTATCGCTTCCCACTTGTATTCCTAGCGGGTAGCAAATACTATCTTAAAATGCTTTTATATTTTATTGGAATGTGGCTACGACAATACTTATAAAATAACTCGTTAAATATTGCACCGAAATATGACGAACGACTTATATAATTTTTTTCAGAAGATATCTAACGTGTAGGACGGAAGGCAGACGCAATATACAGCAGGCAGCGAGAAGCCCGCGTTGAGGTGGTAGTATATGAATTAGTTAATTTTTTTAAAATAATTTTACAATACTCCTCCGATCCTAATTATAAGACCCAATTGACTTATTTGAGGAGATTAAGGAAGTAAGTTAAGTTGGTTATTTATAATAAATAAGTGTTGTCATTCCTAAAATATCCTTGCTAATTAAGTATATTGGCTAAAACTATCATTATTAGAAGGATTATTTTGAAAAAAAATGCATAAATATAAGAGACAAAATAGATTGGGTCTTATAATTAAGACCAAATAAAAAGTCAAATTGAGTCTTATAATAAGGACCGGAGGAGTATATGCGTAAAACATTTTTTTTTAATGTATTACTGGGGACTCAAGGTTTATCAAATTCCCTCTTGTAACCAAAAAAGGAAAAGAAAACAGTTTTACCCCCTTCGAGTTACGGATGCTTTCAATCCGTTGACTCGTAACTTGCATATTGGTGAGTTTCGCATAGCCAGCAACTTCAGATTTGCATATCATTGTGTCAGCGCTTAGTTTATTAATTTTATCCGAACTGCATATTTCACGTAATTGCACAAGGAATATAGGTTTTTTTTTTTTAATCTTATGTTTTAGTTGAAGAAACGCGAATGCCGAGATAAAGTATCCTAGGGGTTCATCATTTTCCTTCTTTCGGCTTCGTGGTTCACCGTCTTTACGTGGATATCGAGATAAGCATCATATCATTAAAAACAATTAACATATTAAATAACAGAAAAAATTGCAACAAAAAAAATTAGAAATAAAAAAAATATAAATAAAGACCCATAATTTTGATAATAATTGGTAAGTAAATGATAATAGTTTTTGTTAATGGGTCCTATATGCAATTTTTCAATTTGAAAAGTTTTTTTTACGATTTTCTCAAAAATTCATGTAATTTAAAAACTAACTCATAATTTAAAAAAAATTAATTTCTTGGACGCATCGAAACACTTTTTTACTCAGTTACAAGCTGAACCATTACTCTACTATTGGGGGGTCACTATCCGCCCCTAAAATATATTAAGGTAGATGGCATTTAACAGAGACGACGATCCAGGATCCATTTGGATCAGCGATTAGAAAAATAACTTATTGAAAAAGTAGCTTATATAAAAATAAAATTGGGTAAAAACTAAATTAGATAAGTTAAATTGTGTTTGGATTGGAATTTAGAAAAGCTAATTTGCAAAAGTGAGATTAGTAAAAAGTTGTCTGAATTATGGTTGAGTAAAAGTAAGTTTGGTTATAAAATGACCCAGATAGGTATGAGTTTTAATAAATAATGAAACATGATTAAAAAAATGATTTCACATTATACAATCGAATTAAAATTTAATGAATGAATTAAATTTTAAAACTTTAGAAAAATCATAAAAAGTATTTTAAATATAAAGTGAAATATGATAAAAAAAATGAATTGAAATAATACAATAAATTTAATTTAATTTAATGTAAAAAAGTAAAATATAATAAGTAAATTAAAATTGAAAATATAAGAAAAATATAAAAAAAATTACTGCCAATGGTTGTGAATTATGGAAGATCGTAAAAAAGAAAGAACATATAAGCTCTTAAAGTGATCAAATAAGCTACAAAATGGAGCTTGAGCCTGAACGTATGTTTTCCAGCCTAAAAAACATAAGCTATTTTTTTATTTAAGCCCAGCCAAACACCTATCTATTTTCCAATCGGGCTTATAAGTGAAATAAGCTGCTACAAAAGCCCTGCCAAACAGAACCCCAGTCGTTTTCTCCCTTTGACGTGCTTTTTAAGAGCCGTGAAAGTAAACGGCGTGTGTCAGATAAGTTCGATTGTCTTAAAGATCAGGCATAAATCGACAATTTTCAGAATAAAAGGGCTTTTGGATCCGTTTTGATAACACTAGGTTTTTTTTTTTTTTAAGTCTTTTATGGTCTCTTTTTCTCCCACCTTTAAAAGAAGAATAATAATAAAATCTCATTATAAGCTGTTTTATTATTATTCGAACTTTTCAGTATTCTTCCTATTTTTGAGTTTTGACCCCACAGATGGCTGCTAGGGATTGAGATCAGATCATGATGGAAAGACGAGAGGGACGTCCACCACTAGAGGAAGAGCCCCCTGATAATGTCCAATTTCCTTTTCAGTGCGGCTATTTACCATGACAAGAAACGTCTGGAACATTCGTCGTGTTTATCCTCGGACATTGAAAATCAGATCAGAACTAATTGAAAAATAGTTTACTGGTTAGTGATCTAATCAAAATCGGATTAATATCAAATTGGTTGTGATAAAATAATATGATTTTTTTCCTAGACACATGTATCTTTCTATTGAAGATAATTTTACTTAATATACTATTGGGTAGGGAGCACTTCTTCTAATAAGAATTCAAAGAAGGACTAATCATTTTCGTTATATTCAACTCATACTGATAAACTAAATAATATAATTAAATTAAAACTTTTTTTTTTAATTTTTACCCAGATTGATCTGACTCATTGCTTATTTTCCATCCCATGTTTCAGTGCAATGATAAAAGGCAAAAGCAATGGTTTGTCCTTCCCCGCCCGCTATGGACACAATATCTTGAAACGTTCGTATTTTCGGCCGAAAATATCTTAAAGCATCAGTTATCGCGTATCACTTGTCAACGAGTTAAATGGGCTTTCTATCAAGAGAGCTGCGCATTTTGGATCCCTCCCCGCCCACTGAGTCAATTGGGTATCGTTTTAACCCAGCACTGTTTCAAATACGCTTCCATGCGCCCATTCCTGATGTAATTAACCACCGCAAAATCGGCGCCCCAAAAAAACAAGAAGGGTTGTAGGTCCAATTTTAATCACTATGAAGCCAGTTAAAAGCCAGTAGCTACCGACCGAAGGCACAGGGACAAAAACAAAAGGAATAAAGGGAGGGTTATTTATGAACAATGACCGCGAAGCTTTTAAGGCATGCATGCAGGCATTGTGAGCAAGACATGGTGATATTCTGGAAGCTGCAGATGTATCCCAGAATGCTTGTCAGGTCAACCAGAGGATCACACACAGACACACACATTTCTATAATCTCATCGACCTCCTGACTTCCGCAGGTAAACCAAACTTAACTTTGCGCCGTAATTGATCCAATTCTCACTAGTAATCCTGTTGTCGTATCAAGATGTTCAACGTAAAGATTCATCATGAATCAGAACACCACTTGTCTTTAGGTTATTATTCTGACCTGGAGTATCATATAGCATCGGGGTTAGGATTAAAACCTGGAGTATCAGACCATGCACAAAATTGAAGTTAGAGTCTTATACCTTTTGGAGCTCTCTGTGTCAGTGTCCCCACTTGCTTCTAAACTATTCTTTTGGCCGACCAGACCCTGACACGCTACCCCAATCCTCAATCTGCTTGGAATAACTTGTAACTTCACTTTTCTATCATCGTTTGAGTGGGCGTGTTTATAAGTGTTTTTGAATTCTATTGCAAAAAAGCCATTAACTTAACTCAATCCGGCCCTCACTCCCCCAGCTTTTTCCATCCCACCCTTTGTCCTTGCACGAGACTTGGCCGTACTTTTATTACTTGAGAAATTAGAGTTAGGATAGGTTAAACTTGGGTTGTGGTTTTAGGAGGACGGAGGCGCCCATTTTGGCGGCACAAAGTGACCAACAAATCTGACCATTATATACGTAACGAGATGTGTGTGGATCTTGATTGAATGCCACAGTGGAAGAGCCTGAAGAATAAGATTCACTGGGGTGTGTCAATTTCAGAGTCCAATCTGTCAGCTTCCCAAATGCAACTCCCACTCCCTCCCCCGAGAACGTGCACTGCACTGTCCACAAACACAATGATTTTACGGACAGCGGATTCTTTTCTGTCAAGTAATTCTTAATCATAACGCAATACACAAAGATCTCTCACGGTTTATGATTATTTCAGTAAGTTTTTTGGAAAACATCTTTCATGTTATATTTATATT